AGAGAGAGAGAGAGAGAGAGAGAGAGAGAGAGAGAGAGAGAGAGAGAGAGAGAGAGAGAGCGAGAAAGGAGAGAGAGAGAGAGAGCGAGAAAGGAGAGAGACGAGAGAGGACGAGAGCGGGGGCAGATCGAGCGACAAGCACCAAAAAAAACAAAGGGAAGCGCGGGTGAGCGCACGGGGGTTTCGAGAGTCTGTGGAAGCGTGGACCGTGAGATTGTGGTACCACGCTTGCATAAAATGGTCTTGTCGAGGCGGTCGAGAACAACTCCTCCCCAACCTTTAGATACAACCCCCTTCCCCTTCTCCGCTCCTCCTCTTTCGCTCAACAGCACCTAGCTGACCGCACCACCCATTTTTTTTAGACCACGCAAGAGCACTGCTAATCAAAAGCAGGCAACGAAAAACATCCAATGGGAGTTCTTTTCAACAAGTGAAGCATTTCTTGGGCCCCTTGCAGATTCATTCGAAGTACAGTGTGGGAATTGCCTAGAGGTGGAGACGCACAGCAATTACCTTCGTGCCGTCCCGGCCCATCGTCCTCGCAATAGCCTTAGACTTGCTGTTCAGTCTAGGTCGGAACGTCATCTCTTTCAGCTCCGCCGAATCCTCCCGCGCCGCCTTCGCCGCGGCTGCCGCCGCTGCGCGGCCTGTTCCGGCCGCCGACCGTCCTGCACCTGGACATCCAGAAGGCCGCCGTTGTTGTTGTTGTTGTTGTTGTTGATGTTCTTGTTCTTGTTCTTGGTGGTGGTGTTGATGGTGGCGGTGGAATTATCATCGTCTTCACGATCAAACCCTAATTCTTCTTCAAATAACATGACGCATTCATTCACCTCGTTTCATGCCACACTCCTTTTCATTCTCACCGGGGGCGAAGAGGTGGGCCGTGGGACCCCCCGCGGACGCGAGGTTTTCCACGGCGGCGTCGAGCAGCTCGCAGAAGCCCAGAAGAGACAGGGTGTCGTCCCCGTGCCCGGCCAGGGCGGAGGTGACCACCGGCACGAGCTCGGGCTTGAGGACGGAGGGATCCACCTTGGCCACCTAGAGGTTGCCGTGGAAGGACGCGGGGGGGCGGGGGGAATGAAAACACAAGAAGAAAAAGGTGCATGTTTAGTGGATGAAGTCGTGTGCGAGCATGTCTGCATGCGTTTTCTACCTCTCTAACGAAATACTACGTGGCAGGTTTCCATGCGCCCAAATAATGGGGGTTTAGACCGTGCGGAAGGAGGGCGTTCAGTTAAGACGAAGGGGCACCGCATCGTCTTGTTGCTGGCTCTCGTCGTACTACAAACAGTTGACTGCGGGGCGTGTTGAAATCATGACAATTTTATGCGTCCTGTTCGAGACAGGGCAGGTTGGGTCGAGGGTTGGACAGAAGAGATATGCAACCAACCGCAGACGGGCGACAATTTTCCGATAGATAGACAGATACACGCACCTCTAGCGTCATCTCCTGCCAAGCGTCGTTGTCGTTGTCGAAGATGGCGTTGATCTTTGCGGTGATAGACTCCATCGCCTGCGGTGCTCCGTGTAATTTCCGTTCACGATTCAAAGCGGATATATATTTTTTAGGTGTGCCGTCAAGCCGTGAAGCAAGGGCATGCATAGGCTCGAGCAAGAAGAGACGAGTATAACCAGCGCGGAACGCGTCTTCCACAGGGCACTCGTAAGACGGGACCTAAAACCAAGTCCACGGGGGAAGCTCGATGCCATGATACGTGAGCCAGGGCAACGCACGAACGTGAAACGTGCGCAAGAGACCAACCCCTGGCGTAGGACGTGCCCTTCCACAGCCCTTGTTGTGCACCTGCCCTACCGGTCCGCCGCACGACCATGAAAAACGCTCTGTAGAGGGGTCGTGCTCATGTTTCGCATGCCTTGGCGGCTAGAACGCTGACCGCGCGCCCTCGAGAAGACGGAGCTGTGTGTGTTCCCACAGGACCGATCATCGATGGACAATCATCGTCCCTTCTAACTGTTTTTTTGCCAAAGGTGGCTCCTAATATTTTCCCCGAATTCTACCGCTCTGTCGAGGGAGGGGCGTTTTGACGCAAACCGACGGACGAAACTACTACGGCTGTTCGTCCCTTTCTGCCCCAGATTGAAACCCGTACGACTGACACGGGCCCGTGCCCTTTGTTCTCGAAGCACTGTACCGGGTTGGTCCCACGCGTTTCGGTGCTACTCTTTTTGCCCCAACAACTCCGTGGAAGATCGAGCTCGCGACGCGTATGCATAGTATACGTAGAAGGAGTTACGTACATGTCTTATCCACTGAAGGCTCCCGGAATAAGACAGCGTCAATGCGCGGATAAAAGAGGGAATCGCTCTCCCTCAAAAGTGTTTTTGTTATCGTGTTTCATCTTGTGCGACGGCGCCTCACAGCACCGCATGTAAACGCGAAAATAGAAGTACCGTCGTCGTGGTCCAGGAAAAACGTTCACCCGCGCGCGCACGCGCGCGCACACAACAAACCTCTCCTTTTCACCACGTAATCGTGCCAAAATCGTGTGCGCACAGCAGTAGTACCTCAATCAAACGACATCCACACACGTACGTACAGCTTTTTTTACCTCGTCGTAGTCTAGCCCTTCCGGGAGCCGGGAGTACTCCACCGATGCGAGCAGCGTCCGGTACGTCTGGACCAGGCTGCGCACCCGCATTGCTCGGATCAGCTCCGCCGACCTGCCGCCGACGTGCCCCGCCGCCGCCGCCGACTTCCTCGCCTCCTCCCGCGAGCGGGCGTCGGCCTCCCTCTTCCTCTCCAGCGCCAGCCCCCGCTCCCACAGGCTGGCGTGGATAGATCTGTCGTCGTCGTGGTAGAAGCAGAGGCCGTCGGTGTCCACCTTGCCCTTGCCGCCCGGCCTCTTTGCCCCTCTCCCTGCTGCTGTTGTCGTCGTCGTCGTTGTCGTTGACTTCGTCATCCCACGTCGAGCGAACCAACCGCTGAGGCCGCCGCTCTGCCGCCGGCGGTGGTGGTGCCGACGCCCTGCCCACGTCTTGTTGATCATCGGCGAGAAGAAAGGCCGGCCGGTGGCGGGATCGACGGAGGCGTGGGGGGCATCGTGGAGCCTAAATGCAGAGGTAGGGGGGGGGGGGGGGGGGGG